GTTGTATGCGATTTGCGAAAGTTTAGGGACCAACTGAAACGAAAACCGAGGCGACTCCCAGGGACAAGTACGTAGTTGGAAGGCTAGAGCGTACTAGTTCAACACCTATTCCATCCCCAGGTCATTTTATAAACAAACTGATCACTTTCCGGACGCAGATATTGAAGGCACGGTTCACGATAATTTTGGGTAATACAGATTATGACGAGAAATGGGAGATAAGATGGAAAATAAAGCGATGAAGGCGAAGAAACTGCGTGAATAGGTGTTTCCAAAATAGAAAAAGGCTTTAAAAAATCGTTAAAAAGGGGCTGGAAGAGAATGCAACCAGAAAATTGGAGAAGAATGGGGCATATGGGCGAGCTAAACAATGTGTGCCATTACATACGTTTGGGTTTCTGGTGCGGATAGCTGACTACGGAAAGCAAAAATCCATTCATTCATAGGCATAAATTAACAAAAAATCCCTAGCAACAGGTAGCGGGGAAAGTAGCCAGTTTTTTCTAGCCTCTGTAGTAGAAAATTGAATAATTTATCGTAGCAGCAAAAAGAATAAGAGATAATAAAGGACTGTGTATGGGCCCTAGAACGAATATTGCAATCTGTATCGCCTCGATACTCGTCTGACATCACATCGATCGAGGGGCGGGGGGGGGGGGGGGGNGGTTGGCCACAGGTGTAGACTGGGTGTGGTGCGAATCACGCGCCAATATAATGAGGTCATCGAACAAAACACGCTAAAACATCATGCCTACCATCATAATGAAAGAAATAAGAACTTATAAGTAGAATAAGTAAAGAAATAACCAACTGTGCAGTTTACAGAAGGATTGCGTTTTCTAGGATCAAAAAACTTGAAGTTATTCTTATTTTGAACGTTTGACAAGTAAATTGACGAACTATGGTGTGAATTCCTAATCTCGAAGGGGCTTCATGGCCATAGTAAAGATATTTCTCTAATTCATGGTGAAGCCGTGGACTACTGCAAATTTATTTGGTCCATCTCAACAGAAAGGTGCTGAAACAATGCTGCGTGCGCGAAGAGCTCTAATGGGGTCACGCGTGAATCGCACGCCCCCCGGGCTTCCACTATGCCTTAGTCGTTGAATTTTGCGACCCGACAGCCTCCTTACTGTTAACCTTGAGGGCCACTGGGCACTCCTAGGGGGAAAACTCAGAAACCATTTTTATCGTGATCTGTGCCTTCAAGTTCCGAATATTGTCAACAGGAGTTCTAAATTCGTTTAATAGATAGAGGCGCAAAGCACTCCAACCTGACACGCGAGCGGTGGGAAGGGTTCAAAGAAATCCTGGAACGAATAAGAAGGAACGAAGTACGACTTTGTGTCCGCGATAAATGTGGAGAATTTGTGGTATCACCTCGGTCTTTAGGCAGGGAATTCACAGAATTCTAACAGACACAACAGTCTACTGCAACACGACAGAAAAAGCCTTTTATATGCAAACACACAAGTTAAAACACCTTGTGGGTCAAAGTAGGAAAGACGACAAAATAGGATGAAAGACTCATTAAAAGGCTGAAGCTGGGAAACCCAACTTGCCCGGTATTCTATAGCCTTATTAAAACCCATGGGCTATCTGCTGAAAACGCGCAGTCACCTCTGCAGCATGCTTACAAAGTCAGGCCTATAATCCGCTGTGTGGATGGATCGACCGGCCACATTTCATAGTTTCTCGGTCCTCCTGGACCATATACCGTCACATCTGTCGGATACGGGAGAATTTTTGGATCGCTTACGTGCTTGCAGATTTCAATGTGACTGTGTTGTCGTGTCATTTGACGTGTCTGCGCTCTACACTAATGTAGCAACAACGAGGCTGTGCAAGCAGTTTCAGAAGTGTTTGACCAGCAAGAAAGAAGTATGGTGGCGTTCGGAAAAAGCAAAGCACAACTAATGGCTCCCATCAAGTGTGCTTGAACTGAAATGATCTGTGGTGGTCTGAGAGATTCTTTCCACAATTAAGAGGGCTTGCAATGGGACACCGGCTAGCACTGGTTCTAGCTGTCTGCTTTATGAGTAGAATCGGACAACCAGTGCTAGCACGCTTACCTGTAATGTACTTCCCCTACACTGCGACTGCTTTGCCATAACATCAACACAGTCAGAAATGAATGAATTGTTCGACATTCCAAACAGTACAGTACAGTACATGCATCAAGCTGAGCCGAGAAGTCCCGCGCGAAGGCTGGTTACCCCTTCTGGATACTCANGTAAGGATTTCCGGCGGGACATCAGGTGAAAAGGTATAGAAAAGGAACCTTTCAGAATATCATCATTCATGCAATGTGGGCACATCGCAGAGCTGTTCAATGCGCAGTATTACGGAAAAGTACGGAGCGGTTAAGAAGGTATGCACCGGTGACGAGGAGCGGGAAGAGTCCAAAAGGTTAACATACCAAATAGATAATCCTAATGGAAACACAACTCGGCAGCATGGCTCACGAAGCAGATCAAGGCCTAATCCAGGTGGAACTGAAGATAAGATGCATCTTAAAGAGCCATCAGTATCAGATCGATTCGGCGCAGTTATTCAGCAGTGCCTTAAAAGAGCGGATCTAGCCAATAAGGTTTTCTTGGTTAATACGCCAAGAGTCAACATAAAACACCAGTTGGTTAAAAACCGTCTCTACGACCGGATTTACATCGTGGATAATTGCGTGAGCTGCCACCATGGGAAAATAGGAGACTGTGCACAAGAACTGTGGTTTACCAACTTCTGTGTTTAGCATGTGATGCTTGCAATATTGGAGCAACAGGGAACCAGTTACTCGTTCGTGTGAAAGAACATCTAGCTAGCAAGCGAAGGTATTGCTCGACTGCACAGAAGAGAAGGTCATGTTGTGGAAGGTCGTGACTTTGACGTCAAATGCACGATTTTGGCCTACGAGGACAGTAGTGGTGCTGCCAGAAGCATTCTGGAGGCTTTTTAGATAAAACACCAAAATTCAGTCATGAATAACAAGAAGGAGTGCATCAACATAACTGGTGACCTCTTGTCTCCCATCCCTCTGTGTGAGCTTTGGTAGTGAAGACTAATTCATGTCACCTCACGTACTATTAAAGGGTTGTGGTTGACCGGGCTGTCTCAATTGCTCTATCATCTCTGAATTTGAGCAACTGTCCGGTGTTGATGGAACTGAAGTGAGTGACCTGTTGAAATTTCTACTTACAATTAGTTGGAAGTTCATCGGTGTGAGTTGCAACTAGTTGAGGGCTGGTCTCTATCAAGCGTGATAGTTAACAATATGAAGTTCCGTAACGCTTTCAGGCCTTTGATAACGACGAGTTGGTCAAAATGTCGAGTGAATAAATGTTTCACCATTTGGAAAAACCTGTTTGACACACTAGCATTAATTAATAATAGTACAAATGCCCAGGTTCTAGGAAATGTGAAGTTGGAGGTTCTTAATAACATAGTTTGTACCAGCCGATGCACCTTCTACTGAGCGGGAGCATCGATGGAATAGAATGTCTATTCGTGTTCGAATCGCTAGAGCGGTGGTGCGGTTGTTCGTGCAGACGCAAGAGAGAAAGAGTTGAGCTCCTACTATTAATCATTAGTTTTGAAGGGCAATAGTGAAGTATAACAAACCAGTCGGACAGCCCGGCTTACGCCAGGCTCTCCCTCTTGTGTAAAACACCCTATCTCGAAAAATGTTGATTTGAATGATTTTCCCCCTTTTTTAAAGTTTATAGATTTCAAGTTTTTTTTCCGCTGTTCAGCTGAGTGAGAGTATGAAACTGGAACAGAGCTCGAAATAGATTATGCCGTCGTAGCATATCACATAGTCAGTTCGCCCGGCTAGCGCCGGGCTTGCCTCCTTCCTTGACAAAACTGTAGTAAGTCGGCTAACCCTCCACTCCTTTTATGAAACAAATAATAGTTTCCTGCACACGAAATTTGACACAGGGCTAACAGGGCAGTGCAGTCGGTGCTCACGCCCTTAATTAAATTCCGTGCCTTTGCTCCCTTTATTCCAGAGAAATACCCTTCAAAAATCCAACTGTTAAACAACCTAAGATGTGAAAATGTTCTGAGCGATGATGGACCGTTATCAGATGTTCTTTATCAGTGGACCCTTTTCTTGACGGAGATACATTAGTTGAGAATTCCAGATTACGGGCGGTCTATTGAGCTTTGTCGCAAATGATATCGAGCAAAGAGGATCCCTCATTGAATCACAAACCTTGCTGGGTAGTGGTCGTAATCTAAGTAAGAAATGAACAAAGTTCTAATCTGCCTAATGGGTCCCTATCACTGCACTTACCACTCACTTTTGTCACCCTGCTCTACCATCCCGTCTTATCGAATGAAACATACTGAACGGTCAAAGCTACATCGTAATACGAAGACTTTAGGAGTTTCATCGGTAGGTGGCCTCCCTTAAGTCCCTTATCTTCTCTTATCAGTTATGATCAGTTGCTGTTACCGAGAGCCTACGATACCGTCATATTCTACACCACTTTTTAAAATGCTAAGGCTCCGCTATTAGTACGCAAAGTGTAATCCTACTAAATTTCAACGCTCTAAGTCCACGTAAACAGGAGTTATGAAATTGTGTCCCAAAATTTCTATTGCGCACACCCCGCCCCCACGGAGTGCGGTCCTGCCATTCACCATAAGTGTTCCCATCCTGCCCCCGTACTCCTACCAAGTTTGTAAGCTTTCGGTCTACGTAAACGGGAGTTATGAACTTGCGTCTAAAAAAATCTATTGCGCACACCCCGCCTCCTGTGCACGGACTGCGGTCCTGCCACCCATCACAAGTGTTCCCATCCTGCCCCTCGTACTCTTATCAAGTTTGAACGCTCTAGGTCCAATGGGACAGGAGTTATGAATTTTCGGTCAGACACACTCACCGACACACACACAAACACACCGACACACCAACAGACACACTTAGCGAATTATATATAGTAGGATGTTATTCTTTTATCACTATGAGTCTCAGTGTGATCGGGTTGGAAGCTGAATTCATGTGCGCGGGTGCCCGCTCGAGCCTCCCTGGTCATATAGTAGACATCGGTCGAGTTTTGAGAGGTCTCAAGTGGGAAATCGATCTTCGTGCATTATCGCCACCGCTTCTTTCAGCAGTATGCTTATGGTATAGCAATCTACAAGCGACAAGGAAGAAGCATTGTTATTATTGTATCCGACAAATTTCAGCTTCTATGTATACATAGCTATTGTCTGTGGACACTTTTTACATTCTCCTTTGCAAGCCACAATCTACCTATGTGTTTATTCGTCATTGGCATTCATGGCCCTCTGGAGCCTGTTTTCCGTGCTGGCGTTCGGCGTAGCGAGGATCCCCTCTCAATGGACGGTGAATTTCTTTAAAGCTCATTTAGCCACTTTTCTGTGTTTGCTCTGTTCCTTACACACTACCGGTTTTACAATTGCAAAACAGAATGGACGTGAATATGAATATTGATGCAATCAACTCCGAAATGTGGCTTCGAAGTTTCGTTGGTGTCACCTATGATAACGGATAAATCGCAATCGGGATTGAACTCTTTCCCGAATCGTATTTGAAAATGGATCTGTGTTGAATATGCTACAAGAACTTCGTCTTTTTTTGCGAAACCCTTGGCGGCAACTCAAGGAAATGGCCGAAAAGTTTTCAAACACCCAAGCGGCATAACAATTACGCATCAATGCGCCTTTGAAGGTCGAGGCTAACCGAGCTTATGAAGCCGACGGCAGAACTTCTTAGACAACCTTAGCTAAGTGCAGCCAACTCATGGAATAAGTAAGGTATCAGTGCCAGCACCTTCACTATGCGGTCAGCAGCTCGATCGGGTCGTATGAGACGCAGCCTAGTCAAATTGTGCTACCTGATTTCTCCTTCCACCTCTCTTATTACGATTGAGATCCTTTTATAGGAAGATTTGTTTGCACATTAGTCCATTTTGTTGATCTGGTGTTCGTTCACAACTCCGTTAGAACTCCTTCTTGGCAAAACGGCTGCTGTAAAGGAAACATGCGTCATAGACATTCCGAGATCGTCGGGATCGGTCCGTTTCAGAACGAGCATTCAATTAGTTACGAATATTCCCTCGAAACGAAAGTATTATAATTTTAAAACGGGTATAAACCTAAGGACTACATTTGAAACAAGTGTTTTTTCAGGTACCAGCAGAGACAGATGCTTTGCTTAAGCAGTGTACGCCATTCGAAAACGGAAAATACGTAGTAGATAAGTCGACCCCTGAGCAGGTCCGCCAATATATATTGGCTAGTCCTGCTGATCCAGTACAAAGAATTCCAGACAGTGAAACAACATCGGATTTTGACAAGAGTGGCTGCCCAGTTGGGAGTTGTGCAAGCTGAATGCGATCAGGCCGGGAGAAACAAGTCAGGGAATCATAACTTAATCTTTATGTGTGACCTCTCACGAAAACGCTTACAGGTACTGTTACATATGTCAAACGCTAAAGCCAGACCGATCTCATCACTGCTCGTCATGCGGCAGATGTGTGGTCAAATTTGATCATCATTGTCCTTGGATAAATCAATGTGTTAACCACAACAACTACAAACCGTTTCTATTGTATATATTCTACAGTACTCTCCTTGTTTTGTGGTAAGTAACTCGTTCAGCATTCATGTGAGGTCACCGCGGATATTCCTACCGTCTGAACAAGTAGTTTCCGTCAGGCACCGTTTTATGGATCTGCAACAGCTCCAATGTAGTAGCGATCTGCTATATCAGAAACCTGACTGTAAATGTTTTCAAAAAGCATTGGTGAACGACATGCAATTTGTCGACTAGAGTGTCCAGCAACAAGAAGGCCCCTAATCTGAACGTGACCTTCTCGTAATAGAAGGTTACCGCAAGAAATTTACTAGGAAAATCACCGGGAATAAAGTAGTAAACGCCGATGCGAAAATTCTTCCCAAGATTTACCATCTCTCAACTACCACATACTTTCGCAAGACGCAGCGAATTTCCATTGAAAATTGATAAGGCAAAGTTTGAAATTTTAACTAGCTGCCTTGTTAGTCATCAGTTTGCTCAAACGAGGCACGTCATGTCTTCAATCACTCCTGTCGGGAGTCGCTGTCGCCTAGTGAACTTTCCTCACTCGAGAAACACCATTCATACCATTGATTTCTTTCAGAGCTATGAAGTTGGACGATCAAACCGTCCTAGTATACTTTTAACCTACTGAAAGTTTTCGTCTGATCCGCCCAGATGCAACGGTGGTGCAAATAGCAGGGCGCAGCAGCCGCCTGATAACTGATTTTTTTGGCCTGAACAGCAGCATTCCGATCCTTGTTCAATGATCCTGTTCGGATCGCGAGGCAAACGCCGGACCCTCACGCTTCTATGTTTGTGTTGAGAAGTCTTTCTTACGCCTATGACTACTCCTTGCCTTTTCTTCTAAAAAGTTGACATCGGTCAAAATTGGCTGTCATAACCGATCGCTACACATCACAACTATTAGGTTGGCAAATAAGTCCTGCGACAAAAAATTTGAAGCGTTGGAAATTTTTATCAACAATGTGAACACGGTAGCAAGGGTGATAGACTTGTAGGAAATTCCTTAGGTAATCAACACATGAGTAAATAAGGGCACGCGTGTGCGCTTTCAGAGCATTACGGTCAATGAATTGGCAATACCCGGCTCGTACNAGCTGCTTGTAATATCAGCAATCTATTCGATGCTACTAGCACTGCTCACCGATCGACGGCCAACAGTCGGTTGGATCGCTTCACTGCAGAAGATACCAGCCTTCGGGGTAACGCAAGCATCGTCCCCTAATTTAATGGATGTTGAAAGAATTCATCAACTATGAGTTGCTTAACGCAGACTGGATGGACACAGCTATCGCTTGCCCCTATGATCCCCTTAATTTGGCCAACGGGGTTGGAGAAGGGCGATCAAACCGTAAATCAGGCCCCTGCAGAGGGACAACGCACGTCGAAAATTCGCTTTAGACCCACGTCAAAAGTTCACCGATCCCGATTGGTTCCTGATTACTCATCATTCCTACTCTCGGAGTGTTCCCCCTTTTACTACCATGTGCACTCCCTTTTTGAGCCTCCCGTTGTGGAAAAGAAATTCGTAACTTAATGTGATCCAAAAACGGTAGTCAATTACTTCTTTGAGTCACAGCTCCCTCACTCCTGAAGAAATGGCATCAGTGATTGGCTCAAAGGATAAAAGAGGCTTGTTGACTTCTTGAGTAAATATTTTTCCGAAAATTGATTGATATGAAAAAAATTAGAAATGATTTAAAAAAGGTCTCCATTTTGTCGCAGGACTTATTTGCCAACCTAATGTATTCCCACCACATATCTTCACAGAGTTGGGGCATTGTACGTTGAAGGGGAACAGAGCTACAAGTTATAGGCTATTTCCGTTGTAGATTGATATAATTCTGTGTATCGGCAACATTCCCACAGTGGAAATCCTACCACAGCGATGAAGCTGGTGGTCCAGTGACAAACAAACCGACACGCACACCGACAATCCGACAACGCACACGATACACACAGTTATATAACTGTTGCTTTCTGGGTACGTTCAAGATAACAGAAGTATTGAATGCTTAGATTGTCCTTGATAAACAAAAGCAACATACAGGGACTATCAGTACTATGTATAACCTTTGGCGTCTATCCGTCTGTCAAAAAATCCTGTGTTGTCTGAAGGAGCATGTGGAAAGGTCGGAACAAGCCACGGGGGTTCTGAGCTAGATCAAATGTGAGCTCCGCGAAACTCCTCCCACGGAGACGGGATACAGACCAGGATGATCTGTGTCAGAAGCGATGCCCCCTGATTTGAATTCAAATGAATCGGGAGGGGGAAATAATGGGTAAAAGGGAGGAATGGGGCAACAAATGAGACGAAGGCGATCCACCCACAAAAAAAAAACGGCTCATCTTCAAAGTGAGCACTTCTTGTTATGTTTATTCGAAACACGATTTTACCGAAGCCAGAAAGACGTCAAAAAATGTAGAAATGAGCGAGAAAGCGAAGTTGCGCTTTCCATTATAAGCGGCACTTGCTCTAGAATTGGGGTGTTATAGCATCTGAAAGAAAATGATAGACTTTCGTAGGGAGAGCGTCAAACAACCATGATCGTCAGGGCCGGTGTGAGCGGAGCTAACTGTGAGATCAGCCATGAGAACTCTATCCAAAAAACCAGAACTCCTTGAAAAAAATGGAAATGTTTAAAAATGCGGAAAAAAGTCGGTAGAAACTAGCGACTAAAAGCTGGTTAAATCTTTATAGTGGGAAGATCGGCCTTTCGGACTGATATCCAAAAACGTTCTGAGATGCGGGAAAAAGTGGCTAGAACCAACGTTGGAAAGATATTTCATTATGCACCGTGTGCTGGGTGTGAGAGCAGGATCCTCATACCCAGCCCACTACGCATATTGAGGGGGGAGCTAAGATCGAAATTTATACCCTGTACAGAAAGGCCCTTCGTCGTCACGCAAGCTTTAGCGTGCCCTAGCCCAGTGTTATTGCCAGAGCCCATGATAATCAACATGACGAACAATAAGTAAACCAAATAACTTAGTAGAGATCATGAATATGCCCTGCTCATGATGAGGCTGCCCTCTTTTCTTTAAACTCGTAGTGTCCTTATGCATTGGTCAGCCAATCATCCAGTTGAACTAGCAAAATATTTCCGTTTATAATTTTTTATAATTCCCAGCTTTCGTTCCGCTTCAGTGGCTTAGAAGTTGGTTCAGAAGTAGACCAAAGCATGTGATAATTAGCACTTTCTCAAAAGTATTGGGTTTTCATTTTCGCTTCTCACTGTGGCTGTTTGAAATGCGTGTAGAAAAACACGCTACGGAATGTGCGTGATCCGCTCAAAAATCCTATCATTCGTAATTTGTCCCCAAACGCATAAGGTGTAATTTGCGACTTATCACAGTTTTGTTCACTCTATCTCAGAGCGATGGAAGCTGTTTAGGTTCTTGCTGACTTCAATCGAGTGCTTCATAAGATTCATTATAAACGCTGCCTGGTTGGACGAGGCCATTCCTCTCGTCTTATTGTTTAGTGTGATCGCCATGTTTGGCATGTTTGGGTAAGGCCTTTTATGTGAGTCGAGTGGATAATTTCCACAACAACTTTACAGATACTTTCCTCTCGGAGAAATGCTTATCTTCCACTATGGACTGCTTTCAATCAATGAGACAACTTGTGAGCAAGCAAAACCTGCCGTATTGAAGTTCGTCGCTAGGGTACTACTAGCTTGCTGTCGATACATCCTGATCATTTTAGATTCGACTTCAAGGCAGACTACAACCTAGGCAGGGAGAAAAACTTTGAGCAGGTTGTTTACCTCATAGCTGTCTCTGTAAGGCGCGAGTTCTTCCCCTGAAATCGGCACGAAGAATTCAGGTCTTTGGTTGGGGATTGTGGTTCTTCCCTTTGAAAACCAGTCTTGAGGATGGAATGCACTTCGAAATACGGTGAGCTTTTACCAGATATTTCCGTTCCGCTCTCAACCATTATTACCTGGCTGACTCAATGTTGTTGCATATATAGGCAGAAAAATTATGCATCGACATGCTTAGTTCGTTTTCTTTTCTCCTGAAATTTTCGAGATCAGCAAATTTTTGTATTCAACAACTAGGAAGAAGGACAGTATAACATCTCCGAGGTATTCTTACTCCCTTCAGTGGTGTGTAAAACTTAGAGGCGAGATAGATAAAACGTTAAGGCTGGGTGGGCATGAATGAAAGTGAGGGAGCATGGAGTTAGACGTAAAACGGTCATGCACGCATAGCTCTGAGGAAGAAGAGCCTAAAGAAGTTGCGAAATATTGCTGCTCGCGCAAATCCTGACAGTTGACGGGAATGAAAAATAGGTTTCTGTCCATCGAGGAGAAGCTACAAAACAGTGTGGTGGTATCCCTCAATTCAAAATGTTCCGCAGCAGATACCATAAGGATGACTTCGTACAGGGAAGAGTCATCGAGAAACTCGAAGAGGGTCTAACCATGATGAGTGCAGCCCAGGAGCAAGGTGTCGCGTACAACGTTGTTTCAGTTGTTCGGAGAGCGTTCCGTGCCTGGTGCTTCTGCCCGGAGTAGAGCAGGTGGTTGGCTAAAATCAACTATACCAAAGGATGATCGCTACACTGTGCTGCGGGCTGGAAAAGATCCACGTCAATCAACTTTTTTGACTGCAATGAACTTTGATAAAATATCAAGACAGCACTATGTCGCACTAGGTCTTTTCGCCCGAAGACCGACACTTTGTGTCCCTTTGACCTGGCGCGTCGGCGAGACTGATTAAGGTTTTGTAAGGAGCATAGAGGACGATGGGAAATGAAGCAGTGCGCTCTTTTCTTATGAGAGCAAATTCAGTCTGAGCAATCATCCTGGACATACTCTCATAACGAGAGGTAGAAACCCGCAATTTTCCTAGTAACATTGTCGAACGCGATCGCTCGAGTGGTCGTGGTCTTATGATATGAGGAGGCATCACATTACATGGCAGTACTGTATCTTTGTATAAAGTTGTCATATTTACTGATCTTTTCCGGGTCCTGTCAGTCGCTTTCTTTACAATACCGTAATGGTTCTCTTTTAGTATGGTTTCATCGAGCTGTTACCTGGCAAAAGTACAGTAATTGAAAGTTTCTTTCGTCTCTGAGTTCTGCTCAACAGTGCATTAGTGAGATTTCCAAAGTTAGGAAACTAGGAGAAGTTCGATTTGGCATCGTTTGAGAGACTGCACTTCCTAACTTCAAAAAGTGTAGGAAAATGTAGACATGGTGGCTGAAGAAAAGCTTCTCTTGAACAGGTGTCGTCCTCAATTTGCAAGGTAGCTCTGCGAAAGCAGGACATGTCGATCATAAGCAACAAATTAATGTTGAAACACGCCATCTCAACAGCAAGCGGAAATAGTTAAGAGTACATCCATCGTAATTCTTCGTCTAGCCGAATTCTTGGAGATATTTGCGCATGGCCGGCTCATCACACTAAAAGACACGGTACACAGTAATTTTGGGGTCGCTCGTAAGACGAATGGTGGAAGCGATAGTCCAGAACAGTACAAAAATAGTAAAAAACGCCGCAATCGGCATATTTAAAGAAATATAAAACTTTAGAAAAGAAGTGAAATTGGTGGTTAGACGAGAATGTGACCAGAAGTTGCATGGAAGGAGTATTTGAACGAGCTGATAAAATGAGCGCGCTGTTGCATACAGCTGCAGTAAGATGGCTTCACGTAAATTGTGGGCCCCAGTGCGAATGGTGCAATTTCTACAGCTTAGAATTCGTCCGCCTTGGGTCTATAGTCGGCTGACAAGGTTTTGAACCGATAATCACGCCCTGTTTCGATCTTTTTCAACCCGACAGTATTCCTTAGGCTACCCTTGGGGGTCACAGGTTCATCCGAAAGACAAACTAGGAAACCATTTCTATCGTAAATTGTGACTTTCCACGATAGTTTTGGGTTATTCAAATTTGGACGAATAACGGAACTGTTAGTTGAGAATAACGAGGAAGAAGGAAGGAAAAAAAATGATTCATAAAGAGAAGTAGAAAGGCTTTGCCGATCGACATAGAATTGCCCCCTGTCTATTGGGAGTTCCCTCTTCAGAATCGCAGCAGAGAACGAATTTCAAGCCAGTCTTCAGTGCTCCCAATAGGTGCCCCCATCTGTTAAGGTCACTGTACCCATGTAAGTGGGAGACGGCCGACTACGATGTTGACGAAGGGGACGGATAACGGGCCAACGCCACTGGAGTTAGCGTCGGCGCTAATCCTTATCGGCAATTGATCATCGTAGAGTATGAAGGCTTTCATTGCCTTTTTTTGGAGCCTGTAAATCACCGCTCAGCCTGTAAATCAAATTACGATATACTCTTCGCCAATAACAGTGCAGAATTGACCTATTGAGTGACATTCAGCTCGAAGTCATAAAGGCACATGGGAACTTGTGTATTGCAAAAGGGCATCAAATAGATGAGTGAATAAGGATAATGGAAAAGGCTCGAGTAATATAGAAAGCCAAACATCAAATTGGTAAAAGACATGTCATGTTTTGAAAATGAACAAACTTTGACTCTTTAGACTTTTCATGAATATTCCCAGGAAAATGACATTGCGATAGCAAGTAGTAAGTCGGTTGAGTATGCTATGCAACCGGGAACCGCTATAGTACTGGGTGGGCCAAGATTATTAAGACAGCGCGCACTGGCGCTCATACCAATTTTTTCTCAGTGCATAACATTTCAGTCGGTTTCTTCCATTTTGCAAGGTAGATTACATTATTTCCTTCCTAGCGGTACTGATCTTTCGACAGGTTCTTAAAAATAATGGAAGCGTCACTGCCCCGTGGATCAATCGTCACCTTGCATTTGCAAGTACTTTTGGCACGAGACATCTCCAGACGACTCTATGTAACAAGGGAGCTAGTGTATTCAACAGCTTCCAAGAGTTGGAACAACTGCAGATTGGAGGGGTGAACATAGGAGGCCAACGGTTACATTAATGAAATTGTTAAGGAAGCAGTGGGGAGGTGTGCGTAGCATGGAAGTCCCCCTGGAATGGAGAAAGGAATGGATATTCATGAAGTTTGCTGCACAAAATCATTAAGCATCATCTCATTAAGCACAACAAGGCCTTTATAAGATCCAAAAGTGATTTTCCGGAGTGAGTAGGCTAAAAAGAAGAGAAGGGTCGGCTCACAAAAACTGCTACGCAATTCCCGAAGAGATTGTCGTCGGCAATTTATCCATCAATGAAAAGATACTCACGGTGAAAAAGGTGCTCATTAAGCAGGGCGACAAAATTTATGTGAAGCTGAAAGAAATGAAAGTGATACAGCGCTAGGGCCACTGACTTTATGCGATGGCATTTGCGAGCATCACCGCCAAGGCAAAAACACCAATTATTTTTGTAAATCAAGGAGTTGAAGTTTGTTTGGAGACCTCTTTCATCGCACCATCTTCAATTAGACACTATGTCGATTCAAACAAGACATATTGTCGAGAGGAAACTCCTGACCGCACATAGAAATTGCATTGTCAAGAAATTTCGTAAAATGAGTCCCCCGACTTCATAACCTTTGATCAGTGACCACTTAGGAGCTCCGACCTGAATGCTGTGGATGTTCCAGTTAGTCAACCTTGGAAATAAAAGCATTCGTTAGCTCAGACAAGAATGAAATGGTCTCGAAAACGCCTCGCAAGAAGCCAGGATCAACTCGTTGATCCTAGCTGCGTGCCACCGTCGACGCCTTCTGTCACCGTCTCGGGGCTTGTGGGAAAGATGAAGCAGCAAATATCAGTACCAATGTTACATTTTGATAAGAGTTAAATGATAAACTCTTTCTTAAAGTTCTCGGGACGTCATATCGTGTAGTCATAATTTTGGCCCACCCTGTATACTATTCTATGCACGCTCTGCCTTCTACAGCCTTCTAGCAGCTAATTGCGGTTGGCAGCTGTTTTGACGCAAATAACCAATAAAAGTAATGACTCATCCACCATGTACGACTGACATTGTTTCAGTTATGAAGAGCCTTCAAATCAGATGAGATTCAAGCGAATAATTGTGACATCAGGAGAGGAAGAAGTTACAGGCGTGTGGGTTAAGGTTTTTTCCTCCGCACAATCGGGCCAAAGATGCTATACTTCAGGGGACAACGTAGCTAGTTATAAACGGAACGCCGCTTTCAAACTGTTAACACTACGACGGCGTGTTTGCTGACCTGTGCACCTCCATTTAGTTATTCATACTATTGTAAATACATATAACAACATTTAATTTGTAATATGTAGGCATGTATGTAGTTAGTTATGAAATAAAGTTGTGATTGCTTCTTTAATTGGATCTTGAATGGATCCGAACTCAGTGGTGTTGATATTTTTGGACTACTCACTCGACAGGGCGAAGCAAACCATTTTGACGTTCAATCGTGCCCCTTCTCTCTTTCGTAAATTCATTGTGAATCTTCATCTAATTGGGCTTTTTAGCCGCTTTACAGGCAGATCACTAAGCAGTTTAATTCCTATACCTGTAAGCGGCAACAGAATTGTTAGGAAATGGTATTCGAATAGTCATTTTATCGGCGGAATGCAGTTGAGACACAGTTCACATTGAGAATGATTTTTAAGATTTCGACCATTTTATAATTCTGTAACCCACTAAAATGGCTTATGGGACGCTGTTGGCTAAAATGGCTAAGGCAATGCGCCTTAAGGGTGCCAGAACTGACTCAGCCGATGTACGCGCCCCGCCGCGGACTAGATCGAAAGCGTTGCAGAAGTTGTGGAGGTCGTACCATTAGCAGCGGGACCCCCACACCTTGCGCACAGGTAGCTTCCTGCAGTCAGCTGCATGCAACGACGTGTGCATTCGAACAGCTTTTTAAATACCCCTTCCATGTGTCACATTCGCGCCCGGTGCCTAATTTTACTCCTTTTTTGAAGCCTCATATCTTTACGCCGATTTCTGCGTT